CCACATTACCCCCAAGGAGCAGTCTGGGGCCACACTGGGCCTCCTATAGCAACCGACTGCCCACTTTGATGGATGAAGTCAAGTTGTTGGGGAGGGAGGGAGGAGGTTGGAGGGGGGGTCGGGGGGGGCTCCTCTCCTTTGCTGCAAGGAGAAAGGAATTTGCCATGTGCCTGACCAAACCCAACAGGAAGCTGCAGGGAGGCTGATAACACTCCCACCCTTCCCAGGCTCGGCTAAGAATAGGGCGGGAAACAAAAGGACTGCAGCCAGAACCAGCCAGGAGATAAACAACTGGTCTTGAGCTTTCAGGAGATGTAGCAGAGCTCTCTGGGCCTGCAGACTGCTCCTCACTGAAAGGGTGTAGTAGCTTCTTAAACAAAACAGGTATGATGCTAAGTCCAGTCTGGTATGGTTTGCAGGTGTGATAGGAATTTTGAGGTCTTAGATATGTGTTAAATGTTCATAGGTGTCCCAACCAAGCACGTACATAGATCAGCACAGGAAGTCTGTCCTGAAACCATTTTTGATTCCCAAACTGAAATGTTTTCTCTGCAAGGTCAAAGGAAAATGGAAAAGCCTCCCCATTGTTTTTTGCTTCACAAATCCTGTCTTAAGGGCACATTTAAGATATGAATAGGGTGTGAGCCTGTGACCTGGCCCAGGAACTAAGTATTTATCATTACAAAAGACTGGCCAGGCTCCCCAGGCAATCCAATCAAGTGACCTTCAAACAGGTAACCTGGCAGACAGGAGGTAATCAAGTCACTCAGATTTCTGCTGTAGACTGCCTTTTCTGTGATGTAGGTATGATTTATCTGGGGTGGTGGTATTGGGTTATACCCCTTCTGTGATGTATGTATGATGTATGGAGGGATGGTCTTGAGCTCCAGGGCAGGGAATTTAAAATGTCTATATAAGGCCTTGCGTGCCATTGTTCTGGGTTCCTCCTCCCTCCTGTGTGTGGTGAGCGAGGACCCTGTTGCAACAGATCAATAAAGATCAAGCTTACTAGCTGCTTTGCTTCTCAATATTCTCTGGTTGGCCTCTGTTATTTCCTCCTACCAATAGGGATCCTACGTAAGGACTCTATATGGGCTCTTGGATACCCAATAAAGGGAAAAGGGCAAACTTTTTTTACAACAGAGGGACAGTCCCGGGTTTACAGAAGCCGCCCCAGTTTCTGATTTGATTCCAGAATGTCCCGCTTTTCCTTAGGAAGTCCCTCTTTTCAACGAGAAATGTTGGAGGGTATGTGTTTGACATGGCCAGCAATGCCTTTCCAGGTTACCAGGCAGAGAGACAGAAAGAGGGCCAAGGAGTAGAGATACTGGCCAACTACCCAAACAAAAACTAAGATTCTCAGGTAGCCCAAGCACTGCGTAGGTCAGTCATTGTTCTTCCCTGCCTGCCATTATTTCACAGAATCCCAGAACTGCAGAGCTGGAAGTACAGGAAACCTTGGAAGGAACCTACCAAGTCCTCTTAGCTTTCATCATACGCAGACAAGAAGGGAAAGCGGAGTGTAGTGAGAAAACACACTCTGGACTTTAAGGAGGCTGGTTTCAAAAAGCCCAAAGGAACTACTGGGTGAAAGTCCCAAGGTCAGAAATACTCCGAGAGGAGTCCAAGATGGATGATTCTTAAAAGCAAAATATTGAAAGCACAAAGGCAGACCAACAAGAAATATACCATATTTTTTGCTCTATAAGACGCACCAGACCACAAGACGCACCTAGTTTTTGGAAGAGGAAAACAAGAAGAAAAAAAATTCTGAATCTCAGAAGCCAGAACAGCAGGAGGGATCGCTACGCAATGAAAGCAACGATCCCTCTTGCTGTTCTGGCTTCTGGGATAGCTGCACAGCCTGCATTCGCTCCATAAGACGCACACACATTTCCCCTTACTTTTCAGGAGGGAAAAAGTGAGTCTTATAGAGCAAAAAATACGGTAGGTGGAAGGAACCTGAAGAAACTGGTGCGGCTGCAGAGGAAGAAGAAAAATATTTGTAACCTGTCTTGCAAACCTGAGTTCATTCTGAGCTTTGGCCTGCCTGACCTTCTCCCTGCAACTGTTGACTACTTGTGTGTATTCTTCCTTTGCGATTTCCTCTTTCTTCTGTTTCTTAAATGTGCCCTTCTTAAATCTCAGCTCATCTGTAAGCTCCTTATGCAGCTACCTTGATTCGTGTGATGGCAGGATGGAGGGCAGGGTCTCTGGTGCTCAAGGTGGGCAAAGTCAAACGGGAATATTTTATTACTTTTAATTAATTAATTGTATTGGTTGCTCTTTTCCCATGGCAACTCAGAGAGACTTATAATATTTAAAGCAAAGCAAACAAACATATACGTACATTAAAACCAGCAAAAACACCCTGTTGCATTAAACCACCCCATTGCCAAAAAAAAAAGAGGCCATAGATAAGTTAAAAGTAGAAGGCTTGGTTAAAAAGGAATGTTTTTTCCTTGCCTGGCGCCTACAGATATGCAATGAAGGTGTCAGAAGAGCCTCCCTGGGTAGAGCAAACAGGGAGCCACCACTGAGAAGGCCCAATCTTGTCTTGTTGCCCTCCAGACTTCTCGTGGATGACACACATGAAGAAGGGCCTCAGATGATGATGATGGCAGGGTTTGGGTTGGTTCGTACGGGTCCTGAACAGTTTAAGGCTTTAAAGTTCCAAAACCTGCATTTTGAACTGAGCCTGAAAACTAACTGGTAGCCTTTGAAGTCAGGCCAGGAATGGTATCATGTGCTCAGACCGTCTTGCACCGGTGAGCGCTCTCTCTCTCTCTCTATATATATATCTATCTCAGCATATGCATACCCCAATGCTCTAAGAGCAGCTATTTAACAGCAGCTACTCCCCCTGAATTCCCTCCAGGCATGAAAAATAAAATAGGACATGTCATGTTGGATCTGAGTCAACATCGGCCTAACCCAGCGCTCTGTCTCCGGCAGCAGTTAGCCAAGCGTTCCCTGGGGAGTCTCATGAGGAGGATGAGAAGAGTCTCCATCTCCCTCCTCTTGTTCCCCTTTCTTCTAATAAAAGCTGTCCTTGCAGGCAGCTGCCACCCCTGTGGCAATGAGTTCTTTAGGCTTCACAGGCACCAGGTTTGGAGAAGACGCTCTCTGCCCGGTGTCCGAGCTGCTAGCGCATTACATGTTCATTCTATGCAACAAGGTCATGCCTGGAGATGGGCGAGGTTGGCTCCCAGGAAGCCCCTCGAGCTATTTTGTGAGCCGCCTTGCGGGGAGAGCCGAGTGCGAATGTGATTCCATTCAGCAGCCTGGGTTAAGGGGGGTACGTACGCAGTGGGAGAGCCCAGACACCCAGGCTGTGTTGCAGAGCGGCTGGCACTCAGAAAACATCACCAGGCTAGGGGACTAAATGTCTGGCTCTGGGTAAGGCAAGTTTCATTGGTTCATTGGCTCCCCGCCCCCCCCAAACCAAATAAAAACCAGAAGTTCACTCAGCCCCCTTTTCTTCTTTCAATTATTTCAGTCGCTCCCAAAACCCATGGAAAAGCAGAAACAGCTTCTGCGCAGCTGTAAGCGCCCGCCCGCCCCCCCTCCGCACACTTGCGCAAGCTAAACTATGTTTACACCCCCCCAACACGGCAATGTTCTTTCCCCCAACCCTATGAGAACAACATTCCACCCGGCGCATTCCTTCCAGAAGGGGGGATTATGGCATTTTTCTACGGGGCGAGACCCGCAGCTGCCATGTTGGAAGGTCTGGCCCTCGCGCCTTGACATCTGGCCAGACTGGAAGAGGCTGGAGGCTAGGCGTTTAATAAAAAGGCAGTGGTAAACCCTCCCCCCCCGGAAGCCGACCTTTCTCCTGGAAGAGGGGAGGCGTCTCTGGGCTACCTCCAAAAACATACAGGCACCAGCACCGTCACGGGGGGCACTTGGGTAGAACGTAGCGAAAGGGGGCATGGCGGGACTCCACTAGTTCACTCCATGCCTTTGACTTGCAGGATTTGAACTCCATGCAGTATCTGTCCTGCATTCTTTTTTTTAAAAGAGTCATTCCCTTTCTGCTTTGGAACTCCCTGCCTATTGACATTGTGATAGGAATTTTATGGTAATTTTATGGATATATGGTAATGTTCATAAGTGTACCAACCAAGCACGTACATAGATCAGCACAGGAAGACCAACCTGGAACCATTTTGATTCCTAAACTGAGCCAATGTTTTCTCTACAAGGTCAAAATGGGAAACCTCCCCATTGTCTCTTTCCTCACAAATCCTGTCTTAAGGACACATTTAAGATATGAATAGGGTGTGGGCCTGTGACCTGGCCCAGGAACTAAGTATTTATCACTACAAAAGACTGGCCAGGTTCCCCAGGCAATCCAATCAAGTAACCTGCCATACAGGAGATAAACAATATTCAAATTTCTGTTTTAGACCGCCTTTTCTGTGATGTAGGTGTGATGTATCTGAGGGGAGGTCTTAGGTTACACCCCTTCTGTGATGTATGTCTGATGTTTCTGGGGGTGGTCTTGATCTACAGGGTGGGAATTTCAAAAGTCTTTAGAAGGCCTTGCACACCATTTTTCTTGGTCCCTCCTCTCTCCTGCGTGTGAGGGGAGCACCCTGTTGCAACAGATCAATAAAGATCAAGCTTACTAGCTGCTTTGCTTCTCAATATTCTCTGGTTGGCCTCTGTTATTTTCTCCTACCAATAGGGAACCTATGTAAGGAATCTATATGGGCTCTTGGATACCCCATAAGGGAAAAGGGCAATTTTTGTTTACAACAACATTAGGCGGGCCCCATTGCCGTACCTGGACAGCAGCAGCGGGAAGGCTGGCTGTTGCTAGTCACAGATGTTGGGTGTGTGATTTGTGTGTCCTATGTGCACGGGAAAAAGCTGTGTTTTGCATCCAGAGAAGGCCCCGGGTTCAAGTTCCAGACCCTGCCAGTCAGCGCAGACGGCAGATGAGCCAGTTGCCTCGCTTGGCACAAGGCAGCATCCTGCATCCTTAAGCTCACCTTCGGTCCAGCTTTCGTGGATCGACGCCTTCTGCCTGAACTTCTCGGCCAAGTGGTCCAGCCTCTCCATCCTTCGGATCTCATTCAGCAGCCACTCTTCGTAGCCTTTCTCCGCCTGCTCCAAGTGCTGCCAGCCGTTATTGATGTCCTGGGGAGGTTTTTTGGGGGAGAGGGAAACGTTCAGCATCGTAACACGGCTGCACTTGCATCCCATGTCTCAGCTCAGGCTAACCCTTCTCCCCAGGTGGCTGTAGACCAGGGGTCAGCAAACATTTTCAGCAGGGGGGTGGTCCACTGTCTCTCAGACCTTGTGGGGGGCTGGACTATTTTTTTTTTGGGGGGGGATGATGCAATAGCACCATGAGCCCCGGTGGCTGCTTACCTGTGTCTTGCGAGAGCCAGGGGCTGGTGGCAGCGGCGGCAGAGGGACAATGAGTGTGGCGTGCAAAAGGGCTCCAGAGAGGAGCTGCTTAAAATGGCAGTCGCTCAAGCGCTGTTGCTGCTCACACCAACAAAGCCCAGCCCCCTTCCTCCTCTAGGCAGGGTGGGGAAAAGCCAGAAGGAGGGGGGAGGCGCCGCCACCGTGTGAGAGAGAGGGAAAGAACGTGCGCACTGGTGATCCATGCAGCGATTCCCGGACCGTCCACAGGCTGGATCCAGAAGGCGATTGGGCCTGATCCAGCCCGCAGCCCTTAGTTTGCCTACCCATGCTGTAGACCAGGTACATCCAACAGGTATATCATGATCTACTGGTAGATCACTGTCTCCCCCCCCAAAGAAGCTCAACAAATCTGGTTCCCTTTTTTGCCCTGCACCCCCAAAAACGGGGCTTTCCTCCTCTCTAAAAAGAGCTCAACAACTTTGACCTGAACCCCCCAAAAAGGGGTAGATCACTGCCAGTCTTTAACTTTGTAAGTAGATCGCAGTCTCTTGGGAGTTGGCCACCCCTGCTGTAGACACATCTAAGGACTTAAGAACACAGGAAGAGTCTTCTGCATCAGGCCAATGGCCCACCCAGTTCAGCATCCTCTTCTCAACAGCGGCCAACCAGATGGCTGTGGGAGACCACTCCCCACCTGTGGCTCCCAGCTATTGATCTTGAAAAGCATTGCTGCTTCTTACAGCCCTCTCCTCCACGAATCTGCCTAATCCTCTTTTAAAGCCATCCACATTGGTGGTCATCACTGCCTCCTTTAAATATGCACAGCACAAAGAAGTCTTTTCTGTTATCTGTTCTGAATCACCTGCTTTTTTAAAGACGACATTACAGAACTTATGTTCCACAATGTGTTTCTTTTATATATACAGTCACACCTTGGTTCTCAAATGCCTTGTGACTCGAACCTTTTGGCTCCTGAACGCCGCACACCTGGAAGTGAGTGTCCCGGTTTGCAAACGTTCTTTGGAATCTGAACGTCTGACGGGGCTTCTGTGGCTTCCGATTGGCTGCAGGAAGCTCCTGCAACCAATCGGAAACTTCGCCTTGGTTTTTGAACGTTTTCGGAAGTCGAACAGACTTCTGGAACGGATTCCGTTTGAGAACCAAGGTACGACTGTATATATAAACCACCCTAAGCAAACGAGAAGTGAAACACAGCAAGACAAACACATCAGTTCCGCTTAATAGCTTCTAATAGCATTTCTGAAATTGTTCTAATTGCCTTCGTTGCAAACCATTGGGATTGACTAGGCGCAGTGTTTCCCAACCTTGTGCCTCCAGCTGGTTTTGGACTACAATTCCCATCATCCCTTGCCACTGGTCTTGCTAGTCAGGGATGATGGGAGTTGTAGTTCAAAAACAGCTGGAGGCACAAGGTTGGGAAACACTGGACTAGGGAACGGAAGGCAGGTGAGTTGGGGAAGAGGTGCAGTCTGAGCATCACCTCCTCTTAGGACATCTGCCTGTCCTATCTGGGGGTCCGCTGGGCTCTCGCTTAATCTTGCAGGCACACACGCTCGTAAACATAGAGAAAGGGGCTGTACGTAGCTACTGGATGACCATACCCTGCTCCCGACAACCTGGTGCCTTCCGGCTGTTTTGGACTCCAAGCCAGCTGGGCCCGATGGAGCCTGGAAGAGCTGGAGGGCCGCAGGTTAGGGAAAAGGTTGCTCTGCAGTTTAGAGACACTGGAAGAGGAACCTGACTGCACATGCCACCTGACTGCACATGTTGATTCAGTAATACATTGTCACAGCAACTTTAACGACTTGGAAGATAGGCCAGCATCTGCATATTTGCAGATTAAAGGGAAGCAAGTATGGAGGAAACACCCAGTGATTCTGGCTCTATGGGGCATTTGCAGCCAAAGTGAGATTTGACATTAGCTCCAACCCAATTGCTCTGTTGGGACACGGGTGGCGCTGTGGTCTAAACCACAGAGCCTAGGACTTGCCGATCAGAAGGTTGGCGGTTCGAATCCCTGTGACTGGGTGAGCTCCCATTGCTCAGTCCCAGCTCCTGCCAACCTAGCAGTTCGAAAGCACGTCAAAGTGCAAGTAGATAAATAGGTACCACTCCGGCGGGAAGGTAAACGGCGTTTCCGTGCGCTGCTCTGGTTCGCCAGAAGTGGCTTAGTGATGCTGGCCACGTGACCCGGAAGCTGTACACCGGCTCCCTCGGCCAATAAAGCGAGATGAGCGCTGCAACCCCAGAGTCGGCCACGACTGGACCTAATGGTCAGGGGTCCCTTTACCTTAGGGAGAGTGCACCCAATTATTCTCTCCGCAGTCTTTACAACCCTGGACAGCATTGTTTTCCCCCCTAACCTGTAGTAATCTAACCTAGAGGTTACCAGAACATAGGCGGCAGAAGTTAGGCTACCTTTAATTGCTCTGTTGGCCCAAAGCTGAACCAATTCTGACTCTGGAGGCGCAGGGCACCCACCCAACACCACCTGGAGCTCCACTCTGCCACCCTATCGGCCCCCTTCTGCTTTTTAAAGCGGGCACACTCACCGAGACCATCTTCCCCTCGGAGGGCATGAAGGCCGGCCGGTTGCTTAGCCGCAGTTTGGTCTGCAAGGTGTTGAAGTTGATCTCCAGCTGGCACTTCTCCTGCACCTTGGGGGGCTTGTGAACCCGCCGGTAGTCGCGGAAATCCTCCAGCTTCTGCTGCATCTCCTGGATGGTCTTCTGCGGGACGCGGTTCTCCAGCCAGGGGATGGTGCGCTGAATCCACTCCAGCAGCTAAGGATCGGATTGGCGGGGTGGAGGAGAGAGATGGGGTCAACGACAGCGAGGACAACAACCCCAGGGATATAGTGGCTCCTCCCCACCGCCCTTCGTAAAGCCCAGGGACCACCTGCGACAGGCCCAGTTCCTGCACTCTGCTCAGCCAGTTACGGCAACCAGAATTCCATTTATGGTGGCCCAAGTGGGACAAAACTGCTCCACGAAACAGCTCTCACATAAGAACATTAAGGACAGCTGAGTGGCAAATCACAGTCCAGCATCCTGTTCTCACAGTGACCAGCTGAATAATAATAATATAAATAATAAATTTTATTTATACCCCAGCCCTCTCCGGCCAAAGCTGGGAGGGCTCAATGGAAACATAATGGGGGGGGGGAGAGACCCAATTTAAAATACAGGTTAAAATGCAATTTAAAAAGCAGCCTCATTTTAAAAGCAGCCCATAAATCAAAACCGTAAGGGGAGGGAAGACATAAGGGTCAGACTGAGTCCAAACCAAAGGCCAGGCAGAACAGCTTTGTCTTCCAGGCCCTGCGGAAAGATGTCAAGTCCCGCAGGGCCCTGGTTTCTTGTGACAGAGCGTTCCGCCAAGTCGGGGCCAGTGCTGAAAAGGCCCTGGCCCTAGTTGAGACCAATCTAACCACCTTGCGACCTGGGACCTCCAAAGTGTTGTCATTTGTGGACCTTAAGGTCCTCCGCGGGGCACACCAGGAGAGGCGGTCCCGTAGGTACGTGGGAAACCCTGCAGGAACCTCTGTAGCAGGGCCATAGCGTGACCGGTCTCACCAGCCGGTGGTTTCCAGCATAGCTGGAGCCTCTGACCCTGGAAGCGCAGCACAACCATCATGGCTGGCAGCCGTCGGCAGCCTTACCCCCCCTCCCCTAAATCTGGATGCTACAATTTTTAGGGAGGTCTGGCAGCCTCAGTGCTCGCCCCATGGGACTCGCAAGGGGAAGGGGGCCTGTCCGCACTCACGTCGGAAGCCAGCTTCTCGTAGTCTTCCATCAGGTGTTCATTCTCCTGGTTGACGGCCAACACTTTGCAAATCCGGTTTGCAGCCGTCTCAGCCTGCGGGGGGTTTTGGGGGGAGAGGAGGGAAAACCAACATGGAGGAAATGGTGGTACGAGAAACAAGCAGGCAAATCAAACACATGAAAACGACAGCGGCGACGGAACGGCTTGGAGCCGAGGCACAGCGTGGAAAGGAGGTGGCGAGACAGAACAGCCCTGCAGAGCCCACCGGGTGCAGCCGCAGGCAGACAGAGCGTGGTTTCGAAGAGAAGCCAAGGCGGGTCGAGAGACTCTCGTGGTGTACCCAAGCATCGCCCGGAGGATGCACAGGTCTCGTCCCCGTTCATAACCCACCCTTCTGTAACCCCCAGGATAACAACTTACCGTATTTTTCGCTCTAGAGGACGCACTATTTCCCCTCCAAAAATTAAGCGGAAATGTGTGTGCGTCCTATGGAGCGAATGCAGGCTCCTTGGCTTCAGCGATAGCAACGCGAAGCCTCCGAAGCGCAGAGGGAGTGCTCCCTCCGCACTCCGGAGGCTTCGCGTTGCTTTCGCTGAAGCCTTCGGGAGCGAGAGGGGTCGGTGCGCACCGACCCCTCTCACTCTCCAGACTTCAGGGATAGCTGCCTGAAGCCTTCGCAGCGCAGTGTGAGTTCCAGCTGCACTCCGCAGGCTTCGGGTTCCTTTTGCTGAAGCCGGGAGAGCAAGACTCTCCTGGCTTCAGCAGAGAGGGAGAGCTGCGCGGCGCCCCTTTCAGCTAAGCAGGAGGAGAAATGGAAGGGGCTCCGTTTCTCCTGCCGCTTCGCTGAAGGGGTGCTGAGCAGAGAGGGGGAGATTTTTTCTCTCTTGTTCTCCCCCTCTAAAACAAGGTGCGTCCTATAGAGCGAAAAATACGGTATTTATGGACAAGGCAGCTAACACTCTAGCCCTGCAGCTACTGGTGCAAGTTACGAGGTAGGCCTGATATGTGACCTAGCCAACCTCCCTTGGAGCTAAGCGCAAGAGGGCTCTTCCATTGCAATCCGTACTCCGCATATGACGGTCGCCCGGTTTGGATGTATGCATCTCAGCGTGCCAAGCCAAGCCAAGACTATGTCCTTCCCTTCTCCGTTCCCTGTGCGTAGCAACGAAAGTGCATCCTGAGCTAATTAGCTACGGTCTCCCATTAAGTCTGAGCAGGAAAAGAATTAAAAAAATAATGATTGGAATACGGAGGGGATGGTTTGAACTTGGTTCCAATCCGGGTAACCATGGTTTCCTGGTTCAGGATGAATGGGGAAACCATGGTTAAATTAAACCGGGAAGCAGCAAGTTGCAGTGGAGGGAGGGAGGGAAGGAAGGAGGGAGAAAGGACAGAGCACATGGGAGCAAGGGACACACGTACCTCAGCTTAATAAGCCAAGAGAGGTACGTCTGAACCAGATTGTCACATTCTTATCTAGGATTTGGTATCTACGGAAGAGGTTCAGATCTATCGCTCGTCTTTACTACAGTATAGGTTTCAGTAAAGTTATGGCTATTATGTCTAGTCCTGGTTTCCCTGTCTTTCATTTCTTTGCGATGTGCTCCACAGATTTTCAGCGGCTTGGTTTTGGGGAGCTCTTATCTCCCCGAACATCACCAACGTTTCGTTTCAATCGAGACTAGGCTTTCCTAAACAGCACAACCCAGTCTATCCTTACCAGTACTATTGAATGTTTTCTATCCTGCCTGTCTGATAAAAGAGAGCGCTCAGACCAGCTTCCATCAACCCCCAAAAAACGCAACCAGGTAAAAACAAAAACAAAAAAACAGAGAGAAGTGACAGTTACAGAAATATTTTTCTTTAAAGAAAAAAGAAAGCGTAATAGCAGTGGTAAAATATTTTTAGAAAATCAGTTACACACACACACACACACACACAGCCTCTGGAACAAGCAGGGGTGGCCCTATCTTATTAGAAAGCAGGAGGGGGGGGAGAGGTAACACAGAAGCCATGGGATGGGGGGGGGAAGTCAAGAGATTGAGTACCTTGCAAGGAGCAGAGAGAGTCCAAGGGGAGGAGATGGAAGCCAGACTTCAAGAGAAAGGGTGGAGAGGGTCTACAGAAGGACGGGCAGAGGGAGAGAGCCATGGAAGAAATGAGTTGCCAACAGAATAGGATATTCAGAGGAAAATAAATATATATATATATTTGCTCTACTAGGAGAGAGAGAGAGAAAGAGGATAAGCCACACATTCGATGGGGAACCTTTGGCCCTCCGGACTATTGCTTAACTACAATGCCGCTGCAGTGTACTCTATTTTTAAATGGAAGTTTGAACCAAAATGGCAATAGGTCCGTCAGAGGAAGTGGACGGACTCTGTATAGGGAAGAATTCTCTTATTTAACCACACGACTGTTAAGAAGTGGTGCTTCCCACTGGTGCTGTTGTAAAGTCACAATTCTAGGAGGGCTTTGAGATGCAGTGGGGGGGGGGGGAACAGCACGAGTAGTAATAATAATAATAATAATAATAATAATAATAATAATAATTTTATTGTTTAGACCCCGCCCACCTGGCAGGTTTTCCCAGCCACTCTGGGCAGCTTCCAGGAAAATATAAAAAATAATAAAACGTCAGACATTAAAAACTTCCCTGAACAGGGCTGCCTCCTAAAAGTTGTGTACAGTGGTACCTCGGGTTACATACGCTTCAGGTTACAGACAGGTTAAGAACTTTGCTTCAGGATGAGAACAGAAATCTTGCTCCGGCGGCGCGGCAGCAGCGGGAGGCCCCATGAGCTAAAGTGGTGCTTCAGGTTAAGAACAGACCTCCGGAACGAATTAAGTACCGTATTTTTCGCTCCATAAGATGCACTTTTTCCCTCCTAAAAAGTAAGGGGAAGTGTGTGCGCGTCTTATGGAGCGAATGCAGGGGGGAGGCAGGCTTTTCCCCAGGAGGGAGAAGGGACTGACACGGCCAGTCAGTCCCTTCTCCCTCCTCATAGAAAAGGCCACAGGAGCCGCGCGTTCCTTAAAGGGTGCGCGGCTCCTGTGGGCTTTTGCGGGAGGTGGGGGTATTGACATAGCGGCGCGCAGCCTCTCCCAGCCTCTCTTTGGGGCTGGCGGGAATAATATTTTTTTTCTTGATTTCCCCCTCTAAAAACTAGGTGCGCCTTATGGAGCAAAAAATACGGTTCTTAACCCGAGGTGCCACTGTAGAGTGATTTGAGCTGGCTTCTGCAGCAGGGTTGACCTGACCCCACAGTCTGACTGTTTTTTTGTTGGTTGGTTTCCAAAAAATACGGGGTGCAGCGGCTCGGCCTGGGCTCCTCGGCCCACTAATTCAGCATGCACCCAGACAGGCTTCCCAAACAACTTGGAGTCCGTGAACACACACATATACACACACACAGAGGCATGCCGGAGAGAAAGCAGTTACAAGGCGAATAATCAATCCCAGCTGATGGGGAGAACATGCCAGCTGAGCTCCAAAGCCTGGGATCAGACACAAAGGACAATCATAAAAAAAAAGAATTGGCAAGGCCTATAAATTCACACAGTCCAGCTCCCCGCACCCCAGCAAACACACACACACACACACACACACACACACACACACACACACACACCAAGGGGAGGGCCTGCTTGCAAACGCATAACCCCGGGTGCAATCAAGTTCAGGCTTTTATAGGGGCGGGAAGAGTCTGACCCTCATCTCCAGCTGGAATATGCAAGACGATTTGCTCGGCCAGAGAAAGGGGGCTCCGCTTCCTGCCTATAAAGGATTTACACGTTCGGAGCCAATAAATTAACGCCAAGCTTTAATGGAAAACACTTGGCTGAAGTTCGGTGGCAGATCTAACATGCTTAAGGTTGGGGGGGGGAGGGAACCAGCTACAGAAAAACCCACACATAAGACAAGAACGCCTTTCCTAAAGCATCCACCGGAGCGTTTGGGTGAGGTCATTTCTCTCCCCGCGTTAGGCATGGCTCTTTTTTGCCTTCCATGCTGAGCGAAGCTTCTAGGTTTCGCTGGCGGCCAGTTGAAGGCAGTGAAAACTTCTTTTCTTTTTAACGCTGAGACGTTTCCTGCAAGCTAGCTCCCGCGTGCAACCTGAGAGTCTGTCCAGAGCCGCCGGCAAAAGCCCGATTACTTTTTTGCCGGACGGTCAAAGGATCCAGAAGGATCCAGCCGTTTTCACCCGCCCACCGAAGACGCCCACCTGACAACATCCACGGCCTTCTAGCGTTCTGGCTCTGTGGGTTTTTAATTCCTCTGCCCTTTATTTGAAATAGATTTGCCGCGGCAATATTTCCTTTCCTCTGTTATGAAGTGATTTGCGATTTTAATATTGTGTTACTGGTTGCATCCTTTTTTCTTTAGGATTAAAAATAAATAAATACCCAGAACATTAGCCTACAAACTGCATTAATAAAAAATACAAATGGATGTTTGCCGGGGTCTGCAGCCATCAGAGACTGCCAGACTCCTCTGGGTGAAGGCTTGAGCTTTCCTTGCTTCGAGCCTTACAAACCAGCGGCTTCGCTGGCCTGTCACTGATTTGGGGGAAATGGATTACCATATTTTTCCATATATAAGACTGTGTTGTTGTTTTTTACCAAAAAATTTGGGTTAAAATTGGGGCTCATCTTATCCACGGATAGTGCTGAGGGGTGTCTTCTTAATTTGGAAACCCCAAAATAGGGGGCGTCTTATACATGGGGGCATCTTATACACGGAAAAATACGGTAATTACAGGATTGGGTTAGTTTGACCAATTCCACACAGACTGATGGGGAAATTCACTTAATATGGGTGAATTAACCCTAAGGTAAAGGTAAAGGGACCCCTGACCATTTGGTCCAGTCGTGGCTAACTCTGGGGTTGTGGCGCTCATCTCGCTTTATTGGCCGAGGGAGCCGGCGTACAGCTTCCGGGTCATGTGGCCAGCATGACTAAGCCGCTTCTGGCGAACCAGAGCAGCGCACGGAAACGCCGTTTACCTTCCCACCGGAGCGGTACCTATTTATCTACTTGCACTGGCGTGCTTCCGAACTGCTAGTTGGCAGGAGAATTAACCCTAAATGCCTTCAAATCAGTCAGGCAATCAAGTTAGCTGAAGTCTGAAGTTCCCTCCCGCCCCCCAATTTGTTTCAACAAATGTGGGGAGAAAGTAGAAAGCATCTGTGGTTTGTGAGTACAAGGCCACAGGGGGTCTCCAGGCTATTCCAGATGAACTATTATGGACTATGAGGGCAGGATCCTGACTGAGGCACTGAAAGGAAGTTTCACGGGTGAAGGCCACAACACGCTATTTGCCTGTTCGGATCCGCGGTCAATTGTGACACTCAGAAGACGGAAGCAGAATATTTAACCCCTTGGGAATTTTGCTTTTTATGAGAGCTCTGAGTAGGACACCTTTTAGAGGGCAGGGTGAAGGAAAAGCAAGAACGACGGCTTTTAAAGAGAGAGAAAAACAACAAGGTGCAGAGTAGTATAATGGCTAGAGCAGGGATGGGGTACATGGGTCGTTGGACTCCAACTCCCATCAGCCCCAGACAGTTCAGCCGTTGGTTAGGGGGTGATGGGAGTTGTAGTCTAGCACCACAGATTCCCCAGGCCTGGGTTAGAGTACTGGATTTAGACCAGGGAGACCCAGGTTTATGTCCCTGCTAAGCTATGAAAGGGGACGCGGGTGGTGCAGAGCCTAGGACTTGCCGATCAGAAGGTCAGTGGTTTGAATCCCCGCGAAGGGGTGAGCTCCCGTTGCTCGGTCCCTGCTCCTGCCAACTTAGCAGTTCAAAAGCACATCAATGTGCAAGTAGATCAATAGGTACCACTCCGGCGGGAAGGTAAACGGCGTTTCCGTGCGCTGCTCTGGTTCACCAGAAGCGGCTTAGTCATGCTGGCCACATGACCCGGAAGCTGTACGCTGGCTCCCTCGGCCAATAATGCGAGATGAGTGCCGCAACCCCAGAGTTGGTCACGACTGCACCTAATGGTCAGGGGTCCCTTTACCCTTTACCTAAGCTATGAAAATAACTGGCAGCCGCCACCTCTTAACCTGGCCTGCAGAGAGGATTTTTTTTTAAAAAAGGGAGGGAGCCACCGCCAAAGACCGGGAATGCTTTCAGGAAATTAAACATTGGCAGCCTGACACACAAGCCAAAGGCAATGCATCTTGCAGAAATGCAAGAAGGCACTTGATACGGAAGAACGAAGGTTAACCTTCCCATAAAACTACTCTGCTGGTCTCTAAGGTGCTATTTTATAATTTTTAAATTCTTCTGGAAGTTAAAGACTTTCTTTAACTTTGTTGAAGACCTGATTCTTTTAAAGGAGTTTTTAGGTTTTTAAGGAGAGTCTTTTTAAAACTATCTTTTTTAAAGAATTGTTTTCATTTATTCTTCCCAGAAGTAAAATGTCGACTGAGAAGCCCAGAAATCTGGCCAGGGGGACAGGAATGAAGGAAGCTAAAAGCCAGAAGCGTAGAAGAAGAGTTTGGATTTGATATCCCGCTTTATCTTTACCCGAAGGAGTCTCAAAGCGGCTAACAATCTCCTTTTCCCTTCCTCCCCCACAACGAACACTCTGTGAGGTGAGTGGGGCTGAGAGACTTCAAAGAAGTGTGACTGGCCCAAGGTCACCCAGCAGCTGCATGTGGAGGAGCGGGGAAGCGAACCCAGTTCCCCAGATTACGAGTCCACCGCTCTTAACCACTACACCACACTGGCTCTAAGTAGGTGGGAAGGGCAGGGAGAACTTGTCAATGGTGGTGCCTAAAGCGAGGAGTTCTGCGTAGCCTGAGAGGCAGGGAGACCCCTGCAGACGCTGGCTTGGAAGACAGATCTTCCATCTTCCCAGCTCTGTGCAATGGTGGCAACAGGCTTGTTTATAATCCAGAGCAGAGGGAAGGGAGGAGAGACGGGATTGGGCTGGGATGCAGAAGAGGGGTACGCACTCACTGCACAAAAAGGGGGAAAGCTGGATCAGAATTCTACACCCGAAAACTTCTGCAACCTGCATAAAATATGCAAAGCTGACATTCCTAAGCACTGTATTTTCCCGTATATAAGATTATATTTTCCCTCTATTTTTTCAAGTTTAAAATTGGGGGTCGTCTTATACAAGGATAGTGCATATGGGGGACTTCTGTATTTGGAGTCCCCCAAAACAGGGGTCGTGTTATATATGGAAAATATATGCTATATTTTTCACTATTTACTCGGCTTCTGTCAGTCAGGCGAAGCACAGGACTGCAGGCAATGTGGACTTGCAAATCTACCCAGAAGTCAGAGGATGGCAAGTTTTTTTTTGCCAGGGATTCCCCAAACAGAGCCAAGCCTTCAAAACAATAAGGACTAGGAGCTTGCTTCTGTTAGGATTTTAAAAAGAGTGAAGGCTCTTGGGGTGTTCGCACTCAGTTCCCCTATCCTGCCCTTTCATATTAGGATGGAGACATCAGGAACCGCACTGAACAACTCTTTGAGTATCACTGCAGAGGAACGCCGCTCATTGCTGTAGAACAGCCAGTGACCGTCGGATGTTTTTGACTACAACTCCCATCATCTGTGACCCCGCCGGCTGGGGCAGATGGGAGTTGTAGTCCAAAACACCAGGAAAGCATCAGGCTGGGAAAAGGTTGCAGCGGGGCACACAACACATTTGGAGGAGCTACCTACCTGGTTCAGAACTCAGCTCAGGGGCTGTTGCCAGTTCAGTCCCAGAATATGCGAATTATTGCAAGAGCACCTGTGGCTAAACCAGAAGCTTCAGAGCAGCCTTTGCCAAACTGCTGCCTGGCACTGCCGGGAGTTGTGGTCCAACAGGGCAGAAGGTTGGCAAAGGGTACGGATGACTGAGGATATCCACCAGGTTTTGCCCTGCACAAGGAGGAGCCAAGCCTGTATGGCCTTTTGTCCCAACCAGAAGGTGATTACCGTATTTTTCGCTCTATAAGACGCACCAGACCATAAGACGCACCCAATTTCTGGAGGAGGAAAACAAGAAAAAAATATTCTGAATCTCAGAAGCCAGAACAACAAGAGGGATCGCTGCGCAGCGATTCCTCTTGCTCTTCTGGCTTCTGGGATAGCTGTGCAAGCCTGCATTCACTCCATAAGACGCACACACATTTCCCCTTACTTTTTAGGAGGGAAAAGTGAGTCTTATAGAGCAAAAAATACAGTATTTCAAGGAAGACTTGCTAGCTATGGTCCTGGAGGTCTCTCCAGAAAGCCAATGCCACGCCCTGGGAACTCCACTGCTTGCATACAGCTAGGAACAGAATTGCACAGTATTCTGGCAGAGGTGACGTTTAAAACAAATCTAGAAGCTGCTCCTTGCCTGGATAATTTTTGCGGGGAGCCAGAAGGGTTTCAGTCTTGCAGGGGGCTTGATGCATTCCTAGCTTACCGCCTGGATTTTTAACGAAACAAAAATTCAAAGCCACTCCGCCTCCCGGCCTAGTTGACCCTCCGCAGGCATGCCCTTTCATGCAAATGTAAACCCTGCGCTCCGGAAAGTGGGTGAGGAAAGGGCGGTTTAGACTAGCCAGGTAAAAGCAGCAGCAGCAGCAGCAGCAGACAGCCCCACCCAGGCAAAGCTCACCTTCTGAGCCCCAGAGAAAGCGTGATAGAAGCAGGAGACGTAGGTCATGATGGCCTTCTCGTCGGGCCTGAGCGTGCCTACAATATCTGCGCAGGAAGAAAGAGAAAACAAAGGGAAGCAAAGTCAAGGGCAAAATGCAAGATCGTCCCGGCTCCCCCTCTGGCATGCAGCAGAGGAGGGGTGGGGCAAGCCTTCACTCCGGACAGGGACCCAAACCTCAGCTGGGACAGGGCTCTGCGGAAATAAATGTCACCCTTGATTCGGCCAGCCCTGCAAACTCTCCAAGATAACTTCAAAGGATTCTCTGCTCTGCTCCTAAGAGCTCTTAGGACTGCAAGACAACTGGTTCGCTGCGCAACTCTGTGCCTCTTTACTCAAAAGGAAACGCTGGTGCGTTCGATGGGGCTTACACCCTAGGGAGTGTATTTAAAGGTAAAGGGACCCCTGACCGTTAGGTCCAGTCGTGACCAACTCTGGGGTTGCGGCGCTCATCTCGCTTTATTGGCCGAGGGAGCCGGCGTACAGCTTCCGGGTCATGTGGCGAGCATGACTAAGCCGCTTCTGGCGAACCAGAGCAGTGCACGGAAATGCCGTTTACCTTCCCGCCGGAGCGGTACCTATTTATCTACTTGCACTTTGACGTGCTTTCAAACTGCTAGGTTGGCAGGAGCAGGGACCGAGCAACGGGAGCTCACCCCGTCGCGGGGATTCGAACCGCTGACCTTCTGATCGGCAAGTCCTAGGCTCTGTGGTTTAACCCACAGCGCCACCTGCGTCCTATAGGGAGTGTATTTACGATCCACCAAAGCCTCGGTTGATGCATCGGTGGGGCTGCCCAATTTTAACTGGTTGAGCTTAAGAGTTCACGGGTTCCCTTGCTTATTTTGAGAAGCTATTTTGGTTCCGGCGTGTTACTGTAATAACGAAAGGGAGACAGCTTCCTTTGATTAAATCACAAGTCCTTGCACTTCCTTCAGCCTCTCAAAAGGGCACCTGAAGTGAGGCTTTGCAAATATATTCCAGAAGTACAGGAAAACAAATATATTTGAATATAATTTGCACATATAATTTGTAAGAAGGTGGATGATTAATCCATGAAAATGCTGATTGCTTGGCAGCCCTCCCTGAAACTCGGCAGAGCGGCTTCAACTCCAACCGTTGGGAGTCTCCCAAATAATATTTGAAAGCAAAGAGATTTCTGGCTCATTATGATCTCTGGATGTCAGACCCTGAGCTAGCTGAGGTTTGGGTTCCCACTGTTCTGCAAGTAGCTGCCCTCGGCACGAGAAGTCAGGAGAGCAACAGGGCGCTGGAAGGAAGAGGAGCTGTTAACAGTAGAGGCTCAGCCGCGTCTGGTACCTTCTGAGCGCCAGAGAAGGCATGGTAGAAGCTGGAAACATAGGTCATAATGGCCTTCTCATCGGGCCGGGCCGTGTTGACAATGTCTGAAAAGCGAACAAGAAGCATTAAAGATACCAGGAGGCAAAACTCTCCCCCGTCCCCTGTTCCTTGATGATCTGCTGGTTCTAGCAAAATCTGCCACAGCTCTGGTGTCCACCTGTAGGCAAAGATTGAGCCCGGGGAAAGTTAACGCCAAGAAGCCGATGTTACAAGTTACCAAGTGAGCCAGAACTGGAAGTTAACTTGTCCAGCATGGAACTGAAGCCAAGGATCTGAGATTTATACTGCCAGAGCTCAAGGCTGCACACGCAACTGATGTGAAGGCCTATTAAAGGTTGCAGAGTTTTTACGACTTTGCAGTGGCTCCGCTCGCTTGCCCTTTCCTCCAAAGAAGAACTCTGAATGCAGAGATTGTGCCAGGCATGTCTAATAAAACTCTGCGGACACCCACTGGAATCCGAGCGCTCCTGGTTTGTTTCGGGGTGTGGCTTCCTCGCTGCGGGGCTTTTCCTGCCCTCATCCCAGGGCACCAGGGAGAAAGGCCTGCGTTATATGTCCAAAGTCCTTTAGAAAGGAATGCTAAGGAAGCAGAACAAAACAGCGACAACAGGGGTTTGCTCTACTAGTTGTCAGTCCCGTGAACCGAAGGCCACACTAGCGTCTGATTGGCCAGCAGCAGACCGGTCCTCCCCCTCGGCTCCATCAAATCACAAGCAAAGTATGAGCTTGCAGGAGCCTGGCATAACTTCTCCCATGGCTCCTTAAGGAGGCCCATGGCTCACTTCAGAAACCAGGGGTGGGATTCGCCATCCATAGCAGAGGTGGGGAAACTCTGGCCTTCCAGAGGTTCCTAAACTTCAACTCCCATCATGCCTTGCCACTGACCACGGTTGCTTGAACTGATGGGAGTCATAGTTTAGAAATATCCGGAGGGCAAATGTGTCCTCCTCACCCCCCGTAATCTAGAACCTGAGCAAGATCAGTCACACTGAGTCGTGAGCCAGGTTCCCCGCCTCTCTCGACCTGGGAAATCTGTCTGCAGACAAATACAGGCACATTTGGCTCCTTACCTTTCTCGCCCTGACCTGGCCACTGTGATCCACGTGACGGTCACCTCCAGACTTCATTATTGTAACTCAATCTACGTGGGGCTGCCCTTGAGACTGACCCCGAAACTTCAGCAGGTGCAGAATGCCGCAGCGAGACTCCTTACGGGGTCCGTGCTGCGGGATCACATTCACCCGGTGCTATACCAGCTGCAGTGGCTCCAGGTGGAGTACAGGATCAGGTTCAAGGTGCTGGTTTTAACCTTTAAAGCCCTATACGGCCTAGGACCCTGATACCAATCGGACCACCTCTCCTGGTATGTCCCACAGAGGACCTTACAGTCTTCAAATAAAAGCATCTTGGAGGTCCTGGGCCACAGGGAGGTTAGGCTGGCCTCAACCAGAGCCAGGGCTTTTTCGGCCATGCCCCGATCTGGTGGAACGCTCTGTCACAAGAGAACAGGGCCCTGCAGGACTTGACATCTTTCCGCAGGGCCTGCACGACAGAGCTGTTCCACCAGGCCTTTGGCCAAGGCACAGTCTGACCCCTTCCTTCTGTAATCCTCATAGCACTCCAGCCCAATGGTTGCCATTAATTTGATTCTGAATTGATTTTAGAATGTATTTCAATTAATTGATTGTGATTTTATGTAAACTGTGTTACTTTTACTGTTGTTAGCCGCTCTGAGCCCGGCTTCGGCTGGGGAGGGCGGGATATAAATAAATTTTTATTATTATTATTCTTATAAGGTGGCAGAGTCCTGAGCAAAGAGACTGTACCACTTTGTGTGGAAGAGACTCATTCTTTTGATACTCCGTGTAAAAGCAAAACTCTCCACGCACAAACCCTCCACAGTACACCAGGGACGAAGGCAGCTGGATAAAACCTCTCCCCAAGTTTTCGACTTTCAGGAAGTCGCGAAGAAGGGGAATGTTTGCAATGCGACCGCACCACTTGCAGCCTTAAGCGGTACAGTCCCTTCTGCCTCAGGACTCCGCCGCCTACGATTTCTGCGTCGGGAGTGCGGCAGATCTGATCTGGCAAGTTACTTTGACCCAGAGGAATTTGGGCTTTGCAATTCGGGGTGTGTGTGTGGAGGGGCTGGGCCGCTAAGTCAAGTCAGCCCGATGGAAGGAGCGTCAGTGACTCTCAGCAACGCAGCGAATCCATGGCAGTGCTCGACAGCTCTTTCGGGCTTCCGTAGCCCAGCCCTACTAAGGGAACTGCAGGACGGGGGGCGGGAAAGGTACTTCAGCGCCAAAAACCTCTTCCTCTGGGAATCGGTTGCATTGCAACGCTGTTACGAAACTTGCTTCTTGGAACCGAACACCCGAGCCCACGCTCCGAGAGCAGCCTCCAGCTTACCTTCTGCATCCAACATCTTGGGAATGTCGAGGTATTTCTCAGCGACCTCAAAAGCGTTGTTCAGATTCGTGACTGGATCATCCTGGGGAGAATTGGGGGGGGGGTGTCAGAGAGGCACAGCTGTTAGAACTGGTGCCATCCCAAAGCCGAATCGCAACCCTGCCCTGCCCTGCCAGCTGAGAAGGAACATCTAAAGGAGGAAAGTGTTTCTCTGCCTCCCCCTGCCCCCCCCTACAAGCAGCTACTGGATGGATGGTGGCCAACAGATTGAGGTTGAATCCTGACAGAAGTACTGTTTTGAGGGGACAGGGGGTGGGGGACTCCCTGGTCCTGAATGGGGTAACTGTGCCCCCGAAGAACCAGGTGCGCAGCCTGGGAGTCATTCTGGACTCACAGCTGTCCATGGAGGCACAGGTCAAATCTGTATCCAGGGCAGCTGTCTGCCAGTTCCATCTGGTACGCAGGCTAAGACCCTACCTGACCGCAGACTGCCTCGCCAGAGTGGTGCATGCTCTGGTTATCTCCCGCTTGGACTACTTGCAAATGCGCTCTACGTGGGGCTACCTTTGAAGGTGACCCGGAAACTACAACTAATCCAGAATGCGGCAGCTAGACTGGTGACTAGGAGCGGCTGCCGATAGCATATAACACCGGTCCTGAAAGATCTTCATTGGCTCCAGTATGTTTCCGAGCACAATTCAAAGTGTTGGTGCTGACCTTTAAAGCCCTAAATGGCCTCGGTCCAGTATACCTGAAGGTGCGTCTCCACCTCCATTGTTCTGCCCGGACACTGAGGTCCAGCACCGAGGGCCTTCTGGCGGTTGCCTCACTGTGAGAAACCAAGTTACAGGGAACCAGGCAGAGGGCCTTCTCGGTAGTGGCACCCGCTGAGCTGGACCTCAGTGTCTGGGCTGGATGATGGGGGTGGAGACGCTCCTCCAAATATACTGGGCCTTTGAGGCTGTTGAGGGCTTTAAAGTTCAGCACCTTTGTGCTCAGAAACGTACTGGGAGCCAATGTAGGTCTTGGGATCCCGGAAGGTGTAATTTAAGGGTGATGGGAGAATTTAGGAGGCTCCTCTTCCCCTCCCAGAGTTACAGCTCTGCACCCTTCACAAACTACAGTTCCCAGAATTCTTTGGGGGAAGCCAGGACTGTACAAAAGTCATGGTACAGGATGCTTTTAATAATAATAATAATAATAATAATAATAATAATAATAATAATAATAATAATAATTTATTATTTATACCCCGCCCATCTGGCTGGGCTTCCCCAGCCACTCTGGGCGGCTTCCAAAAGAATATTAAAATGCAGTAATACATCAAACATTAACAGCTTCCCTAAACAGGGCTGCCTTCAGGTGTCTTCTAAAAGCCTGGTAGTTGTTGTTCTCTCTGACATCTGGTGGGAGGGCGTTCCACAGGGCGGGTGCCACCACCGAGAAGGCCCTCTGCCTGGTTCCCTGTAACTTGGCTTGTCGCAGCGAGGGAACCGCCAGAAGGCCCTCAGTGTTGGACCTCAGTGTCCGGCAGAACGATGGGGGTGGAGACGCTCCTTCAGATATACTGGACCGAGGCTGTTTAGGGCTTTAAAGGTCAGCACCAACACTTTGAATTGTGCTCAGAAACGTACAGGGAGCCAATGTAGGTCTTTCAAGACCGGTGTTATGTGGTCCCGGCGGCCGCTCCCAGTCACCAGTCTAGCTGCTGCATTCTGGATTAGTTGTAGTTTCCGGGTCACCTTCAAAGGTAGCCCCACGTAGAGTGCATTGCAGTAGTCCAAGCGGGAGATAACCAGAGCATGCACCACTCTGGCGCGGCAGTCCGCAGGCAGATAGGGTCTCAGCCTGCGTACCAGATGGAGCTGGTAAACAGCTGCCCTGGACACAGATTTGACCTGCGCCTCCATGGACAGCTGTGAGTCCAGAATGACTCCCAGGCTGCGCACCTGGTCCTTCAGGGGCACAGCTACCCCATTCAGGACCAGGGATGGATGGTGCAAATGCGGCCTTTAATTCCACAAAAGAGCCCTGCAGCCCAATATGAGTGTTAGGGCATTTCACACACCCTCCCAACTACCACCTTGGCTTTCCCTCCATGGCATTTTAGCTCAGGGGAAAAGAAGTGCTTTGCCACGTTTAACCCTGAGGCCGGTCGCTGCCATTCTCACATTACGGACGAGGAGATTGCAACTCTCCCCAGATTGCCCAGGGAGATCCTGGCTGAAGTGGGATTTGAAGCTGAGATCTCAGGTGGCGCAACAGCTCAGTGCGTCCGGGGAGAATTCCTGCATTGCAGGGGGTTGGACTAAATGACCGTCCTGGGTCCCTTCCAACTTACAATCCTGTGATCTCACTCAACCCAGTGACTCATGCTCATTTCTGGACTGGATTCTGGGGAGAGCATGTAGGACACAGCTAAAAACACAAACAGCAACGCTGCTACTACTAACACTCAATTTCGAGTCCAAAATGAGGGAGGAAGGAAGGAGCTGCTGTCGTCAACATACCTTTCTGAGCTTGTCATACTCAATGAGTTCTGGTCTGTGTCTGTGGATCAAGGCATTAAAAGCAAGGCCGTCTTTCCAGCTGTAAAAAGAAGCCCAAGGATACAGTTAGATTGCTTGGCTGTCCAAGAGGGGAAACTGCGGCTTCGGGGCAGAATTCCTCAAAACTGCGAGGCCTGCCCGCCCCCCCTTCGGACAGGAGGGTGCTTTTCACGATAGTAATGCTGTACTGGTTTTAACACTTGATTGGGAGCCGCCCAGAGTGGCTGGGGAAACTGGGCAGGGTATAAATAAATTATTATTATTATTATTATTATTGTTATTATTATTATTATTATTATTATTATTATTACTATGGTACCTCGGGTTAAGTAATTCGTTCAGGAGGTCTGTTCTTAACCTGAAACTGTTCTTAACCTGAAGCACCACTTTAGCTAATGGGGCCTCCCGCTGCCGCCGCGCTGCCAGCACACAATTTCTGTTCTCATCCTGAAGCAAAGTTCTTAACCAGAGGTACTATTTCTGGGTTAGCGGAGTCTGTAACCTGAAGCATATGTAACCTGAAGCGTATTTAACCTGAGGTACCACTGTAGTATTATTAATTTATTATTATTATTATTATTATTATTATTATTATTATTACAAAAAGGTAGCAAAGAAAGGGCAGAACCACACAAACTTCAAGAGTCACTAAAAAGTAAGAATGCAAGAGCCCTGCTGGGCTGCACTCAGGGTTCGTTCAGTCCAGTGGCCAAGCCACTGGGACACCAACACGCAGGGTCTGAAGCCCACAGCCTGTTCGTGCCTATTTCCCTTCAATGTGGGGGTGCCACACAGCCATCGTAACCACAGACAAGCCCCCCCGCAACCTCCTCCGAGGATCTGCCTGTTCTCCTTCTCAAAGGCATCAAAGCCACCACAACTTTATGGGGGTTGCATCCCAAGTGACGGCTCCCGTCAGCAAATGGACTCTCCCCACACACCCCGGTGCTAAATCTGTCCTAAGGATTCCCCCAACCCTCCGGAGCAGATCTGGGGCATGCAAGGTAAAGGTAAAGGACCCCTGGATAGTTTAGTCCAGTCAAAGGTGACTATGGGGTTGCGGCGCTCATCCCGCTTTCAGGCCAAGGGAGCCAGCGTTTGTCCGCAGACAGCTTTCCGGGTCATGTGGCCAGCAGGACAAAACTGCTTCTGGTGCAATGGAACACAGTGATGGAAACCAGAGCTCATAGAAACACCGTTTACCTTCCTGCTGCAGTGGTACCTGTTTATCTACTTGCGCTGGCGTGCTTTCAAACTGCTAGGTTGGCAGGAGCTGGGGCAGAGCAACAGGAGCTCACCCCATCGTGGGGATTTGAACTACCGACCTTCTGATTGGCAAGCCCAAGAGGCTCAGTGGTTTAGACCACAGCGCCACCCGCGTCCCTACAGGGCATGCATGGAGTGGGGGAGAAGGTGTCCCCATTTCACAAGTGGAAATCCTTGTGTTGATGAGAGGTGTTCCTTGGGTGCTGCTCTTTGGCCAGAGAACTCTCCTGAGTCAGTTCCTTGCCCTGGGTGGCAGATTTGCCTTCCGCTGACCAGAATCTACTGCCCATTTATTTCAGTGGGTGATTCACTTTTCACCCAGCACATATCATTCCACCAGCCTCTGTCCTCCACTCTCCTCCCCAAGACCCATTATTCCTCAAATATCAATCTAGCCGCGGCCTCTCGTCCGCACAAGATAACCTGCCAGTCTGTTAAAGATTCCCAGCGAGCTACTCCCAGGTCTCTGGCTCAGGCAGGAAGCACAAAGGCCTCTGCTATTTGATGGGCTGGTCTGCTGGATTTTTAATCGGGAGCCGTCCTCCTGAAGCCATTTCTCGCAGCCTTCGAGACACAGCAAGGCTTTCTGGCCAGAGAGTGGAAATGCTGCCTCTGTGTTTGGGAAAGGCAAGGCCCGGTGCCTCGCAGAATGGCTGTGCCTCGACTGGCCAGAATCATAGAGTTGAAAGGGACGCCATGGGGTCATCCAGCCCAACCCCCTGAAATATAGGGGTAGCAGCTGAAGAATCTCCACTTTTCGAAGGAGCGTGTTCCACTGTCAGAACAGCTTGTGTTTTGTTGGAATCTCCTTTATCGCACTTGGAGTCCATTGGTTCTTAGGTGGGATAGCTCAGCCGGCAGAACACGGAGCTCTGAATCTCAGGGTCAGGGGTTTGAGCCCCGCGTTGGGCAAAATATTCCTGCATTGCAGGGGGTTGGACTAGATGCCCTTTGTGGTCCCTCCCACCTCTAAGATACATTCACGGTTTGCATCTTACCCTCTAGAGCAGCAGAAAACAAGCTTTGTCCCTCTTCCATGGGACAACCTTTTAGATATTAAAGGTAAAGGGACCCCTGACCATTAGGTCCAGTCGTGGCCGACTCTGGGGTTGCGGCGCTCATCTCGCTTTATTGGCCAAGGGAGCCGGCATACAGCTTCCGGGTCATGTGACCAGCATGACTGAGCCGCTTCTGGCGAACCAGAGCAGCTCACGGAAACGCCGTTTACCTTCCCGCCGGAGTGGTACCTATTTATCTACTTGCACTGGTGTGCTTTCGAACTGCTAGGTTGGCAGGAGCAGGGACCAAGCAACGGGAGCTCCCCCCGTCATGGGGATTCGAACTGCCGACCTTCTGATCGGCAAGTCCTAGGCTCTGTGGTTTAACCCACAGCGCCATTCTATCTCTTCTCACTCTCCTCCTTTCCAGCCTAAACATGCCCAGCTTCCTCATCTGCCCCTCCTAAAGGTTGGTTTCCAGGCCCTCGATCATCTCGGCTCCCCAAGGTTACCTTATGTGGAAGTTCTGTACGTTGACGTTCTTGTAGGGCGCAGTCTTCCTCTGGCACCAGAGCAACAGGCCTTCCTTGGCCGAAGTCTCTGCAGGACGAAGGGGAGAAAGAAGAGAGAGGAGGTGATGGCACCGTCTTTGGCAGGACAGGTCACCTGGCGTGGGGGGGGGGCTGGAGCTAAGGCAGCAACAGGAATGGGACGAAGCCAAGACAACATCTCCAAACCTAAGGGTCGAAGGCCAACGTTGCACAAGGCTCTTGGGCTCTTCCATGGGGGAAAAAGGAGTGCAGAATGCCCCGAGAGATGCATTTCAGGTACTTCGTGCACACAGACTCCCCAAAACAGTGGCAAATGTCATAAACAAAATTCAACATTGCGTTTTTATACAGGCCTCCTCCCGCTTGTGGATGGCACTGGGAAGCAACCCAATAATTCATTTCAAACTGGGAAATGGTAGGAGAGAGCTGGGGAGTCCCCATGGCTCGCAAGGCACTGAGGTCCAGCTCTGAGGGCCTTCTGGCGGTTCCCTCCCTGCGAGAAGCCAAGTTACAGGGAACCAGGCAGAGGGCCTTCTCGGTGGTGGCGCCCGCCCTGTGGAACGCCCTCCCACCAGATGTCAAAGAGAAGAACAACTACCAGACTTTTAGAAGACATCTGAAGGCAGCCCTGTTTAGGGAAGCTTTTAATGTTTAATAGATTATTATATTTTAATATTCTGTTGGAAGCTGCCTAGAGTGGCTGGGGAAACCCAGCCAGATGGGTGGGGTATAAATAAAAAATTATTATTATATTATTATTATTAAGGAGACCCTGCCTGAAGCCCAAATAGGACGTGTGCAAGGGCCAGAGGAAGCCCCAAAGAGACTGGAGGTACAGCAGGGCTTTGATTACGCTGCTCAGTCTCCCCGCCTGGCAGCTGATGCGCTAGGTAGCGCAGCACCAGTCTTTCATGCGTCCTCCAGCCTCCTGCCAGCCCCAGAGCTTCAGTTGTAGTTGTGGATATTTCTGGACACAGTATGAGTTGAAGAAAGAGTGACAGAGAGGGTGTCTTAAGGATACAGTGGTGCCTCGCAAGACGAAATTAATTCGTTCCGCGAGTTTTGTCGTCTTGCGATTTTTTTTGTCTTGCGAAGCACGGTGTCGGGAAAGTTTTGGAAAAGCTTCAAAAATCACCAAACTCTTTAAAAACCTCAAAAAAGGCTACCACACCGCGTTCTATGAGTTGCTCCTCGAAGTCAAGTCGCAACTGTATTAACGGTGTTAAGAAAAAGGAAACAAACTTGCAAGACGTTTCCGTCTTGCGAAGCAAGCCCATAGGGAAAATCGTCTTGCGAAGCAGCTCAAAAAACCAAAAAACCCTTTCGTCTTGCGAGTTTTCCGTCTTGCGAGGCATTCGTCTTGCGAGGTACCACTGTATTTAGAGGGTGCTCCCCACTTTGTACAATGTCACCTATGCGCATGTGGGCCCAGAACGTAACCCCCACGCAAGTGGGGAGCTGGCTGTTGTTGTGATCTGCCCAGGGACAGATCCAAGCGGGGAACGGTCTTGGGGGAAATGACCCTTTCCTATAAAGCAGCCTCCCCCAAGCTGGCACCCTCTGGGTGTTTTGGATGATGGGAGGCAGAGTTCAAAACATCCAGAGGGCACCAGCTTGGGGAAGGCTGCAACAAAGCGCTTGCAAAACTAGTACCCTGAAAAGGTACAGGACCATTTGAGTTTTTGCTAAGAAAAACGCCGCCAGGTGCCCCGAATCCTTAACCTGTGTTTGTTGTCACTTGTGCAGAAGGGAAAGGGGGTTGTTATGGGGTGGGGCATCTGCAGGGGAGAAGAAGTGGCAAGCGGGATAGGAAGGTGAGCTCACACCCACCAAGCCCACTCCCCAAAATATGGCACGTTTTGTAAAAAGAAAAAGCCCTTTTGCTTGTGCCTGAACTGGGAATAAAACAGCTGAGGTGCATAAGATCAGGTGGGTGCAATTTGCGTTCTTCGGTTCTGGGGCTGCACTGGGGCCCAGGCAGAAAGCCACGGGGGGGGGGGGGAGTATTGGGCTCCCCCCCCCAAAAAAAAGGCCTCTGGCTGCCTAATAGCTGCTTGGCAGGCATTCCCAAGGCAGGTCTTTGCCAAGGAGCCTGAGCCACACGCTCAATAAAGTCAGCGAGGGTTATTGCAACCGACTTGAGCAGCTGCACGGTGCATGATTAATTGTCGCTGGTCTAGCGGGAAAGAGGAAGCGGTTGAAGGCGTGGGCACCGTCGTGGATCACCGCAAGTCCGCGGTGCATTGCCGCACGGGCTCCGCCAGCTTCCTCTCCCGTCTATTTAAACGTGCCAGACGTACAGCTGGTGCCGACACGCCAGGAGGATGGTGCAGAGAGGGCAGGCTGGCGCACGGCCCGCGGAAACTTGGGCGCTCACCTTCTACGGAGATGTCCTGGATGGCGAATCTGAGGATGATGGTCCAGATCATGCCGAGGGTCATCTTTGCGTTGCCGTCGACGATTTCTGGAAGCAGACGGGAAGGGCGTTAAGGGAGGGAGGCTGGCTCTGTTCTGGATCAGCTCACGCTTCGGCCAGAAAGCGGGCAACTTGAATAGCTCACTTGGTCAGAGTGTGGTGCTGATTATGCCAAGGTTGCAGGTTTGACCTCCAGGGTCCTTTTCAACTCTACAGTTCTATGACTTCTGCTGAAAGTTCCCAGGCGAACACACGGTGCAGAAAGGACACATGTGCCAAGGAGCTGACACTGAGTTGTGGCACTGTGATGCGTTCCCACTGCACACCCCTAGGGGTCTGGCGGTGTGTGTGTCCCCTGACGCAACACCCGCCGTTTGGGACACCCTGCCTGCCGATACCAGGCAGGTACCACCAGTTCATTGTACAGGGATAGCCTGTTCAACTTGCAAAACCAAGGCACGACATCCAATTGGCTGCAGGAAGCTCCTGCAGTTTAGTTAAACTAAATAGTTTAATTGTTGAATTAAACTAAATAGCTTTAATTGGATTTTGGGCAATTCATTGTTACTGTTCTGAATATCATTGTGCAAACTGCTCTTCTGAATAATGCTTTTCACGGGGGGGGGGGGCGCTGGGGATGAGCTTGTGGAACCAAGGGGGCTTTGAAGAGGAACAGTCTGGGAACCCCTGACATAGACAACACTGATCTGGACGGGCTCATTGTTCAACTCTGACTAAGGAAGCTCCCTAAGTTCCTCCCTGTTCTGCAAATCTTAGTACAGTGGTACCTCGGTTTTTGAGCGTCTTGGAAGTCGAACGTTTCAGCTTTCGAATCCAGAAAACATGGAAGTAACTGCTTCAGTCTTTGAACACTTTTCGGAAACTAAAAACGTGCCACACAGCTTCCGTATTGAGTTTTCTGGATGTAAACCCTTCCGGAAATACATGCTTCGGTTTTTGAATGTTTCGGAAGTCGAACAGTCTTCTGGAATGGATTACGTTCGGAAACCGAGGTTGCACTGTACAGTGGTACCTTGGGTTAAGTACCGTATTTTTCGCTCTATAAGATGCATGTAGTTTTTGGAGGAGGAAAACAAGGGGGGGGGGGAATTCTGAATCTCAGAAGTCAGAACAGCAAGAGGGATCGCTGCGCAGTGAAAGCAGCAATCCCTCTTCCTGTTCTGGCTTCTGGGATAGCTGCGCAGACTGCATTCGCTCCATAAGATGCACACACATTTCCCCTTACTTTTTAGGAGGGAAAAAGTCAGTCTTATAGAGCAAAAAATATGGCACTTAATTCGTTCCGGAGGTCCGTTCTTAACCTGAAACTGTTCTTAACCTGAAGCACCACTTTAGCGAATGGGGCCTCCTGCTGCCGCCGCACCGCCGGAGCACGATTTCTGTTCTCATCCTGAAGCAAAGTTCTTAACCCGAGGTACTATTTCTGGTTTAGCGGAGTCTGTAACCTGAAGTGTATGTAACCTGAAGCGTATGTAACCCGAGGCACCGCTGTACTGGTTTGCTTTTCAAAAGCAAGTTTCTAGGCCTTATGTTGCGAAATATACATTTGGTACCAAAGGGGCAATGTAGCCTGAGTTCTCCGAAGTCAGGCGGTGGGCTGATTAAAGTTTCCAATGACTGCAGGCAGGGCCTCGGTGCTGTGTGTAGGTCCTAGCTGCTCTCAAAGGGGAGAAGTGGCTGCATAAATGATGCAAAAGAGCAGGAACTGTGCAAAATCTGCTCCGTTTGCATGATTTGGGCAAGCTGCAGGTTTGCCGGGACACAGAACTGTTTTGTGTCGCGTTGCTGGAGCACAGGCTACAGACTGGCTTTGTACTCTTGAACCACCCAGGAAGCCTTTCTGGCTGGTCCTCCGTTGCAATCTGTGCCTTTTTTGCCTTCTGCCAGCAGACACAATGGAGGGGGAGACTGGATTCCCCACCCCACCCCCGGCCACCGAGAAGATTAACAAGAGATGCTGCAGGACAAGTGGCCGGCAGGAGTTGCTTGCGGTCCCTGGGAGAAGCAGAGCACAGAATTCCCAATTCGGACTCCTTTATTCGCCATCAGGCCGCCCGGAAGCAAGAGTTAATTCCTTTGCTCTCTTAACCAGCGCAAATCAAATCATGGCCTAAGCTCATAATGGCCTATATATCTGCGACTTACTGTACTCTGCTTTTGACTGTATTGTGCTTATTTGTTAATTCCATGGAAATTTCAGTATGTTTCCGAGCACAATTCAAAGTGTTGGTGCTGACCTTTAAAGCCCTAAACGGCCTCGGTCCAGTACACCTGAAGGAGCGTCTCCACCCCCATCGTTCTACCCGGACACTGAGGTCCAGCGCTGAGGGCCTTCTGGCGGTTCCTTCACTGCGAGAAGCCAAGCTACAGGGAACCAGGCAGAGGGCCTTCTCGGTGGTGGCACCCGCCCTGTGGAACGCCCTCCCACCAGATGTCAAAGAGAAAAATAACTACCAAACTTTTAGAAGACATCTGAAGGCTGCCCTGTTTAGAGAAGCTTTTAATGTTTAATAGGTTATTGTATTTTAGTGTTTTGTTGGAAGCCGCCCAGAGTGGCTGGGGAAACCCAGCCAGATAGGCGGGGTATAAATAATAAATTATTATTATTATTATTATTATTATTATTATTACCCTGAAAATATTCCTCCCCCCGCAAAAAAGGGGGAAAACTGCAAGCGTTAAAATTTGGTCCCCTAATCTTAACATGCTAAAATTGCGCAAAAGATGAGCAACGTTCTGGATCTCCCTGGCTGGACAGAGCAATCTCCCTCCAGCAGTTGCTGCAGGTGGAAAACCTGCAGCCCAAGCGCAGAATTTACAAGCGCTCAGAAGCACAAAGGCTCAGAAGTCGAAACAGCACAGAAGGTGCTGAGCAGAGACGCCAAAGGGTGTCACTCTGGGGAGGGGTGTGTGCAGGAGCAGAGAGGGCGCCGGGCTTGATGAGCCTCCTTTTCTGTAACCGGAGATGCCACACCCGATGCGCCAAGAGGGCACTTGTCAGAACATGCGCTGGTTTCAAGGACAGCTCCCTTTCCCAGGTTAGGTCCCCGAAGGCAGGGGAGCCGATGCCGGAGCGCTGGGGAAGCTCCGGAAAGCTGGATTCAGCTCCCTTTCCCAGGTTAGGTCCCCGAAGGCAGGGGAGCCGATGCCGGAGCGCTGGGGAAGCTCCGGAAAGCTGGATTCAGCTCGCCTGGTCTAGGGCTTCCAGAAAGGACACGATGGCATCAAAGAGAGATTTGCCATGGGTGCAAACCCTGAAGCAACCGTCCCCCTCGGATAAATAACTGGAGGTGGGCGGGGCCTTGCATCTGCAGCTGGCAAAGAAGAGCCTGAGGACACAAGCTTGCTGGATCAGATCAGGGGTCTCCAACATGGTGCTCACTAACCACAGCACCCCCATTTAGGAGAAGCTGGATGCCAAAGGGGCCAATATCAAGGGTTTTTGCTCCAGGGAGCTGAATATTTCCTTGAAAGAGGGTTGCCTGTTTCGGGGGAATTTTCTGCCTCAGTCTTTCTTCTGTAAAATGGGTATGCTGCAGCGCTCAACGGTTTCTTAGAGATGTTTGACAGTGGGTCTCTCCCCAGGAGGTTTTAGCCTCTCCTCCCTTGGAGGTTTTTAAGCAGAGGTTGGAGGGCCACCTGCCATGGACGCTAGAGCTGAGATCCCTGCGTTGCAAGGGGTTGGACTGGATGACCCTCAGGGTCCCTTGCAACTCTACAACTCCACAATAGGATTAGGGCAATCTGGTCCCAGCCAACATTCAGACGGAAGCCAGCTAGAGTGCCTTCGGGAAGCTCAGAAAAAGATCATGAGGACGGATGGCCTTTCCAACTAATCTCCAGCTACCAGGACACTGTCTCCGAACAAGTAGCTTGCATTTAGTTTCAAAACATCGGAAGAGCCTGCAGGATGAGGCCAATGGCCCATCAAGTCCAGCATCCTGATCTCACAGTGGCTGACACTGGGAAACCTACATCAAAATTGAAATTGAAATACCATATTTTTTGCTCCATAAGATGCACTTTTCCCCTTCCCCTGTGTGTGCGTCTTATGGAGCGAATGCACGTGGGAGGCAGGCGGGAAAAGCCCCCGCGGCTCTTGCAGGCTTTTCCCCAAGAGGGAGAAGGGACTGGCTGGCCGCGTCAGTCCCTTCTCCCGCCTTGTAGAAAATCCCGCAGGAGCCGCTCACCCTTTAAAGAGCGCACGGCTCTTGCTGGCTTTTGTGGGAGGTGGGGGAAGGGACAGAGGGCAGCCCCACCTCCCGGAAAAGCCCCCAAGAGCAGCACTCCCTTTCACTAGCAGCGTGGAGCATGTGTGTAGCTCTTGGGGGCTTTTCCCCGAGGAGGGAGAAGCCTGCAAGCGCCGTACACATGCTCCGCACGGCTCATGAAAGGGAGCACTGAGCAGAGCCTGGTGTGCATACAGGCTCTGCTCAGCGCTCCCTTTAAAAATATTTTTTTCCTTGAATTCCCCTTCTAAAAACTAGGTGCGTCTTATGGCTGGGTGCGTCTTATGGAACGAAAAATACGGTGCTTTATTGTCACTTGTACAACTTGTATACAGTGAGATTACACAAGCACCACCCACTCAGCTCTCTTAGTCTTAATTCCCCTCTTTTACTGACACACACACACACACACACACCAAACCCGAAAGTCAGTTGCCCTTTGTTATCTTTTCATTCAGCAGCCTAACAGTCCACGGATACAGTACGTTTCTGAGCACAATTCAAAGTGTTGGTGTTGACCTTTAAAGCCCTAAACGGCCTCAAAGGCCCAGTATACCTGAAGGAGCGTCTCCACCTCCATCGTTCTGCCTGGACACTGAGGTCTAGCGCCGAGGGCCTTCTGGCGGTTCCCTCATAGCGAGAAGTGAGGTTACCGTGGTGCCTCGCAAGACGAAAAGAATCCGTTCCGCGATTCTTTTCGTCTAGCGGCTTTTTCGTCTTGCGAAGCAACCCCATTAGCGGCTAAGCGGATTAGCGCTATTAGCGATTTAGCGCTATTAGCGGCTTAGCGGGCTTAGCGACTAAGCTGTTAAAAGGCTATTAACGGCTTAGCGGCTTTGAAAAAGGGGTGGAAGCGGGGGGGGGGAATGGCGAGACTCGCAGAGGTTTTCGTCTTGCGAAGCAAGCCCATAGGGAAATTCGTCTTGCGAAGCAACTCAAAAACGGAAAACCCTTTCGTCTTGCGGGTTTTTCGTCTTGCGAGGCATTCGTCTTGCGGGGCACCATTGTACAGGGAACCAGGCAGAGGGTCTTCTCGGTAGTGGCGCCCATTTCTGTGCGCTGCTCTGGTTCGCCAGAAGCGGCTTAGTCATGCTGGCCACATGACCTGGAAGCTGTCTGCAGACAAACACCAGCTCCCTCGGCCTATAGAGCGAGATGAGCGCTGCAACCCAGAGTCAGCCACGACTGGACCTAATGGCCAGGGTTCCCTTTACCTTTACGAAGAGCCTGCTGGATCAGGCCCATCTAGACCAGCATCCTGTTCTCACAGGGGCCAGCCAGATGCCTCGATGACAAACCAACAAGCTGGATTCGAGCAAATGAACGCTCCCTCTTTTGTCTAAATCCCGACTGGTCCCACCAGGACCTTGTGTTTGTCTGTGATCTGTAAGACCCCCCGGCACTGTTTGAGGAGAGGTCTTTTTCCTAGCGCAAGCCACATCCAGGGCAGGGAGCCCCCCCGGAAGAAGGAACTGCAGAGCTGAGGGTGGGTGGGTGAAAAAATCCAGCGGCCAAGAATTTGGGGGATTTTTGTTTGCTTGTTTCAAAGCGTGTAACGTATTTATTGCCGGCGTATAAATCTGGCAAGGCTCAAAGGAATATCGGTCACAGAAGCTCAGAACAATAACGGCAAGTATTTGGATGGGGGGGGTGTATCACTGGATGCAATTAAGTTCAGAAGAGCCAACCGTATGCTCCCAGCTGACCAGCTGCAGGAAAATGAATCTTGCCCTGGGCAAATGGCTCCATGGCTGCCCTGATGGCGCTCTCTCTTCCTCTGTGTGTGTGTGTGTGTGTGCGCGCGCGCATTGCTCTTTCCAGCTCCCAAACTACTTTTCAAATTGCCTTGACGATATCTGCAGACACAGAGAGCAGGGAGATCGGAGGATACTGCTCTCTTTCCAGAGAGCTTGTTCAGGACCTACAGCTGCAGCCAATCGGACTTACATGCACCGTGGGAGATTACACTAAAGCTGCTCTGTTTAGGGTTACACACACTAAGGAAATGCTCTGTGGGCACAGAATCCAGCTCTGTGATTTATATAAATCGGGACATTGTCCAGCATCTCTGCATCATGCATTCCGGTTTCGCGAGTCACGGGGAAGGGCAAGGAGGGCACAGGGCACAGGAAACGTTACTCAGCAGCTCCTCTCGACTTCCGAGATTCCAACAGAAGTGGCCTGCACATTTTTAAGCGTTTCGAAAGATAAGAAGACTCAGGCCCCAAAAGCCCACATGGTCCAGCCTCCTATTCCCACGATGGTCAAACCAGGTGCCTATGAAAAGTCTGCAGGCAGCCCTCTCCCAACCTGCAGTCCACCTCCACTTGTATTCTAGCAGATGGAAATCTCTTTAGCAGGAGATCCAGCTGCCCCAGTACTGGGGAACCTGTGACTCTCCAACTCCCTTCATCATCCCTGATTCTGCAGGGTGGGTGAGGCAGGAATTGCATTCCATCAGAATCTGAAGGGCTGCAGGTTTCTAGCCCCCTGTTCTGTCTAATAAATAATAATAATAATAATAATAATAATAATAATAATTTATATCCTGCCCTCCCCAGCCAAAGCCCGGCTAACAAGTAAAAATAGCACACTTTACATAAAAATGCATTTCCCGACCTTTCAACTTGCTTTGCCATTCTCTTTTTTGCATTTTATTCTGCACAACCACCGTGTGAAGTGTTGGGAAAGGCTGTGAATATGTGTCAAAACAAAAAAAATTCCTTCCAGTAGCACCTTAAAGACCAACTAAGTTAGTTCTTGGTATGAGCTTTCGTGTGCATGCACACTTCTTCAGATACAGGAGAGACCTGGTCTGAACAAAGACATTGGATTCTTATCTCATTATACATGACAAAGCCATTTTTCACCTTCTCACCCCTTGCTTTTTCCTGTAAGACCTATTGCAGTCGTTAAGAGTCGTCAAGAGGCTCATCACAGCTATCTGCCAATCACCCATTCCCACCACCCTTCTGAGTAATACCCCTCCCCACCTTCTCACTATATAGAAGGATCTGGCAACTTCTGTTTCAGTGTATCTGAAGAAGTGTGCATGCACACGAAAGCTCATACCAAGAACTAACTTAGTTGGTCTTTAAGGTGCTACTGGAAGGAATTTTTTTTGGTTTGACTATGGCAGACCAACACGGCTACCTATCTGTAACTGCGATTGTGTGTGTGTGTGTGTACACGACTTGGCCCACTCGACCTTTATAAGGATTTATACTCAGTTCTGTTTGACCCAAGCACAATATCTCTCTTGCGCCACACTGTCTCTCCAAACAGATCAACAGAGCACATTTGACAGGTGAAAGTCAAGCTTTTAATGTTTGATGTTTGATTGTATTTTTAATATTTTATTGGAAGCCGCCCAGAGTAGGCGGGGTATAAATAATAATAATTATTATTATTATTTTCCTTGTGGGTGAGACTAGTGATGCAACAAGCCACACTGTTCTCAACGGACAGAATTTACCGTATTTTTTACTCTATAAGACTCACTTTTTCCCTCCTAAAAAGTAAGGGGAAATGTGTGTGCGTCTTATGGAGCGAATACAGGCTGCGCAGCTATCCCAGAAGCCAGAACAGCAAGAGCGATTGCTGCTTTCGCTGAGCAGTGATCACTCTTGCTGTTCTGGCTTCTGGGATTCAGAATATTTTTTTTCTTGTTTTCCTCCTCCAAAAACTAGGTGCGTCTTGTGGTTTGGTGCGTCTTATAGAGCAAAAAATACGGTAAGTGGCATTTTGCTGTATTGTATGTCCCCCCCCTTTTCTGTTTTTTCTTTCTGTTTTATCTTTTGTTTGTTTTTGTTACTGGTAATTCTTTTGTATTATGCTTATTTACTGAAAATAATAAATATTATTTGGGGGGGGGAGAGATGTTTTTAGAAAGTAGAAGGGAGGAGGTCCCTGCCCCGAGAGGCCTCCAATCACAGACCTCACAATAAACAGCTTGCGGGCACGACGTTATCGCCAGGAGAGGCTTGAAAGAACAGCACCCCAACCCGCGCAATCTCACCTTCAGCTCCTATGGAAACCAGCTTGACTCCTTTGCTTGCGATGAAATCGAGAGCTTTGTTCACGTTGTTGATCTTGTGCACCCTCATCTTCCCTCTCTCCGGTTTCGGTAACCGCTCCCCTGCGGAAGCAGAAAGAAGAGAGGGGCTGGTTGGTTGGTTGAAGGAGCAGATCGGATTGAAAGAAAAGCACAAAAGTGAGCTTCCTTTTCGCATCAGATGCAAGCTCGGCAAGACACAAAGGAAGCCTGTGGCTCCTGCAGGACAAACACCTTTCTTGTCCAAAGAGGAACAGATTTTTTTCTTTTCTTTTGGTTTCCTAAGTTACTCCAGGTTGAATTCTCTTTAGCAGTCATCCGTCTCTCCAAAGGGAGAAGAAGCTGACATTTGGGTCAGGTTTCCCAGCGTGTAAGCCTATTCAAGCACCGGAGTGAGGCAAAAATATTGAACCAAGGGGGGGGGTGTTGAGAGGGAGCTGGTGTGAATGGGTCAAAATGGGGTTAACAAGGGCACCAGATGGCCCATCAGCCTTCAGCCACCCCAAAAATCAGGTTAAACCCCAACTGTGAAATTATTCAGATTCAGAATAACAAGGTTTGCATGGCTCATTCAGAGTTAAGAAATGGACAGTGTAAGAAAGAGTACACTATGCCTTGTCTATTTGTTCTCCCCACCACCCGCTCCCCATTTCTTTGTGGTATCAGACACCAGTCGAAAGCCACGTTCTTCCAACCAGCCCCCTGGAAAAGCAACTGACTTGTGAATTACAGTGGTACCTCGGGTTACATATGCTTCAGGTTCCATACGCTTCAGGTTACAGACTCAGAAATAGTGCTTCAGGTTAAGAACTTTGCTTCAGGATGAGAACAGAAATTATGCTCCAGCGGCACGGCGGCAGCAGGAGGTCCCATTAGCTAAAATGGTGCTTCAGGTTAAGAACAGTTTCAGGTTAAGAACGGACCTCTGGAACCAATTAAGTACTTAACCCGAGGTACCACTGTACAAGGATTGCAAGCTCCCCAAAGACATGCTCTACAGCAGGCTATATAGGCAAACTTGGTCCTCCAGATGTTTTGGGACTACAACTCCCATCATCCCTTGCCACTGGCCCTGTTAGCTAGGGATGATGGGAATTGTAGTCCCAAAACATCTGGAAGGCCAGGTTTGCCTATGCCTGCTCTACGGGGAGCCGCCTTCAGGCACCAGGCCCGTTGGCAGACCAGCTGTGCGTTACAAAGATGTCTGCAAACACGACATGACAGCTGGCAACATCAGCCTTGCCCTTGCAGACGACCGCAGTGCCTGGAGACAGGCAAGACAGGTTGTGTATCCGCAGCAGCGACCAGAGGAGGAATAACCAGAATGAGCACAGAGAGAAGAAACGGCAAGGTGTGTCTGCAGCAGCACAACAGGATGCCTTCCTCTGCCCCAGCTGCAACAAAACATGTCTCTCCCGCATCGGTCTCTGCAGTGCCAGCAGGCGCTGTAATTCCCCAGTGGTCTGACTTCACCCACAAAGGTGCGCCAGTCCCTTGTCTCCTGAGACAGACGGATGCCAACAACAAACAGGCCGTGGGGCCACTGGTATGATCCCAGGGCTGATGCGTCACCTCCCGCCATCTTAGGACATGGGTAGGCAAAGTAAGGCCCGGGGGCCGGATCCGGCCCAATCGCCTTCTCCATCCAGCCAGTGGACAGTCTGGAAATCAGCGTGTTTTTACATGAGTAGAATGTGTCCTTTTATTTAAAATGCATCTCTGGGTTGTTTGTGGGGCCTAACTGGTGTTTTTACATGAGAAGAATGTGTGCTTTTATTTAAAATGCATCTCTGGGTTATTTGTGGGGCACAGGAATTTGTTCATTCCCCCTCCCCCCAAAAAATATAGTCTGGCCCCCCACAAGGTCTGAGGGACAGTGGACCGGCCCCTGCTGAAAAAGTTTGCTGACCCCTGTCTTAGGATGTTGAGGATGACTGCTCAAAACTCAAACTTGCCGCAGAGCTAAAAGGCAGTCCTGAAAAGTGCCAATCAACAGCCCTTGCAGGTCCTTCTGACCCTCACCTGAAATGACCTCCAGCAGCAACATGAGCTTCAGGCCATCACGGAAATCTTCGTCGATGTTCTCAATCTGCGTGCCGGCTTTCCGCAGGTGAGAATTGCACCATGCTGTGAAAGTCTGGGTGGGAGAAAAAGAGGAAAGGTAAGGCTCTGGAATAATAATAATAATTATTATTATTATTAATTTTTTATACCCAGCCACTCTGGGCGGCTTCCAACAGAATATTAAAATACAATAATCTATTAAACATTAAAAGCTTCCCTAAACAGGGCTGCCTTCAGATGTCTTATGGACCCTTATAGACGCAAAAGCACTGCAGACTGGTACTGTGGCAACCCCTCTGGCTCCTTCAAGGCAATATGAGATCCAAGACAAACACAGGCTAACTTGGTTTTTTTGGCTCAGGAGGGAGACACACAGGGAGGTTCAGCTCTCTGTCCTCCGCCCACCCAGGTTCTGACTTCAAATACCGTATTTTTCGCTCTATAAGACGCACCAGACCACAAGACGCACCTAGTTTTTGGAGGAGGAAAACAAGAAAAAAAATATTCTGAATCTCAGAAGCCAGAACAGCAAGAGGGATCGCTGCGCAGCGAAAGCAGCAATCCCTCTTGCTGTTCTGGCTTCTGGGATAGCTGCACAGCCTGCATTCGCTCCATAAGACGCACACACATTTCCCCTTACTTTTTAGGAGGGAAAAAGTGAGTCTTATAGAGCAAAAAATACGGTAGTTATGACTTCGTTCCAAAATTGAGCGGGGCTGCAGTCTGGCCTTCCATGAATCCTCATCACACGAGGCACAGAATCTGGCCTAAAGCCATGGAGCCTGGTTGCTACTGTGACATTTGAAAAACCGCAGGTTTCTAGTCCTCAGGTTCAGAAGCAGCCTGGAAACTTTTTGCCTCTTTAAACACAGCCCAAGGCAGGGCCTTCAGATATTTAAGAAGAAACTTTAAACTTTCCTAGTTCCTGCTCCCATCCTTTTGGAAACTTTTGAAATAAAAGGTTCCACAAAGCGCAAAGTGAGCTCCTTCTCTTTCCAGATTGGAAGCTGGACTTCATTTTCAAACAGAATCCAAAATCTTGCTGGTCCTGAGTGAAAGGGTGCACAGGGTCTGGCCAACATAATTCTTGCCCCCATCTTACATGGTGGGCTTCAGTCAAATGCCCCTCACAGTACCAGACCCTCCCTCAAGACAAGGGATAGGTGTGGACTGCCTGCCCCCCCCAGGAGGAGAGCCGATTCCCGCCCTCCACCGCACACAGTCTATATTATTGCACTCCCAAAAGGAGTAGCTTTGAGTTAGGAAACTTGTTTCTGCAAACTGATAACGTCTGGCTTTGCATGTGGGCCCTTGGTTGCAGCGGCAAGAAGCAACTGAGCCGCAAAAGGACCAAAACTTGAAGGAGAAAGAAAATTCTGATGAGGAGGGAGATGGAGCTGGTTGCTATCTGGTTTTCAACACCACAACATGTCACCATCTAAACATCACAATATACTGATATATCACCATTTCTGAAATAAGGATGGAGCTACGGAGAGGCACTGGCTGGCTTCGCGGTTTCCCCCACATTGTGATTCTTGTGCGCGTGTGCACACATCATGATTTGTGATATATTGCCAGGTCGAAAAATCATGAAAACGATGTCACAATACGGATTCCAAACACACGCGCTAAACAGGTGGATGTTTGCACCCAGGCAATCCAAATGCTGCACCCAGAAAAGCTGGATTCTGCTATTAGTATGAAGTACGGACGCTGAACTATTTTGTAGGACCCAATCCGCCATTTTTAGCTACGGCAAATTATTTATTCTGGTTCTGACAAGGGGGAGGGGGAGGAGAGGCAGAAGACACTGAAAAGCCAAGGGAAGTATTTAATAATAATAATAATAATAATAATAATAATAATAATAATAATACAGTGGTGCCCCGTAAGACGAATGCCTCGCAAGACGGAAAACCCGCTAGACGAATGGGTTTTCCGTTTTGGAGGTGCTTCGCAAAACAAATTTCCTATGGGCTTGCTTCGCAAGACGAAAATGTCTTGCGAGTTCCTGCAGGGTTTTTTTCCTCCCCCCCTTTTTGCCAAGCCGCTAAGCCGCTTATCAGCTGATCCGCTAAGCCGCTTAACAGCTGATCCGCTAAGCCGCTTAACAGCTGATCGCTAAGCCGCTTATCAGCTGATCCGCCAAGCCGCTTATCAACTGATCTGCCAAGCCGCTTATCAGCTGATCCGCTAAGCCCGCTAAGCCGCTAATAGCGCTAATCCGCTAATGGGCTTGCTTCGCAAGACGAAAAAAACCGCAAGACGAAGAGACTCGCGGAACGGATTCTTTTCGTCTTGCGAGGCACCACTGTAATAATAACAACATTTTATTTATATCCCGCCCTCCCCAGCCAAAGCCGGGCTCAGAGCCATCTCTTCAGGTTCCAGGAGGTATTGCCCACAAATCTTTGCCACTATGTGGACCAGAAGCTTGTTTTTCAAAAGAAAAGAGAGATACATGGGAAGGTCATATACTCCTGTATGTACAACTACACTATATGCTCCTTTGGAGTCACACACATTCCAGTCCGTAACAAACCCGGGAAGCAAATTATCCCTGTCATTAGGAATCTTTCCCTCATCGCCACCTCTCCCACTTCCCCTCTCACACACTTTAGATGTGTGCAACTTTATGGACCAAGAGGGAGCAAATGGATAAGGGGAAGCTGGACCAGCATTATCAACTGCGGGGAGCTGCTGAGCCAAAGTGGTCCCTCGACACCATGCAGAGACAAGCAACCCCAAAGCGCTTGCTAGCTTGCTAATCGGCCCTGCTTTCTAAAAACCCGGCTTGGATGCGCCATCAAGGAATCTCCAATGGTGGGAGGCATCAGTGAGGAATTTGTGATGGCCTGGGACTCGGGCTCGGACTCAGAGGAGACTCAGTCTGCACCGGATCCTTTGCCTCAGGCATCACCTGAACCAAGTCTGGGGCCTGATCCTGAAGAGTCCCAGTCTGTGAGGAGATTTCACCCCTCCCATATCCAAGAATCTGCTGATGTTCTCTGCTGATTCTCCAGAGAGGAGGGGCGGTTTTCTGCTCACTACTTATTCCACTCCAGCTTCACATCAAAGAGAGAGAGAGAGACTGAGTGTTAGAGAGAGATCGTGTGTATAGATAAGGTTGCTGCTAAGAGCAGCTGCAGACACTCAGTGCAGTTCAGCATTTTCGCTTAGACCTCATTTAGTTCTGTACATTGTTGTGTATTATAGTTATAGATAGAATAAAGAAGATATTCTACAGAGCTGCTCTCCGAGTCGTTTATGCTCTGCTGTACTCTGCTGTGCGACGACTGTCTTCTTGTGGAAGTGAATCCGGTGCTCACAACTCTAAGCTGTGAGTCCACAGCACTTTGACCTGTTCCTGTGCAGAAGGTGGTCTCTGGAAGTGCTACCCAGCTCGCCTAGCCCAGTCAGGGCTGATGTGGATGAGTCCAGTTGGTGGCACTGGCTCAAGGGCGATGCTGACAGTCTGCGCAGGTTCCCCTGCAACAAGCACCAGCTGGGCCGAGTCAGGGGCCTGAGCCTGCCCTGACTCCAGATGCAGGGATTACCCAGGTGACTCCTGGGTCTAGTAACCCACCGTCCCCTGAGCTGCAGAGACTGATATCTGAGAGAAGGAGAGACCTGAGTACTCGCAGGAGGAGTGCTCGTCTTCGGTCAAAACAGGGAGGTGAGTCACTGGGGGATCAGGACCGGCCGCTACTCCGATAAATATAAAAGACTGTCGGACCCCCGCCCCAGGTTGCGGGAGCAACATTACTGTATGCCAGATCCAGCCTGAGATCCTGTACTTGTCCTTGCCTGGTTTCCTGCCTCGTGTCCTGCCTTGGCCCTGTCGGACTGACTCCTAGCAGAACTTTCAGATTCTGGACCGGTCCTGGACCGCGTTTCATGGGTTACCCCCGGGCCCAGCACAGAATTGCAGCTCACCACTAAAGGCGAGAGAAATCCACCCCCCCAAATCTGATGCAAATGCACTCTCTCCTTCCAGCCCTTGCACAAATCATGCATATTCCAACCAGGTATGCCCCCCTCTTACTGATATCACAGTGCCAAGGTATCGGGAACAAAGCGGGATACGCTTTGAATGATCGCTTCTTCCGGATGCTGCCAGTAGTGTGTGGCAGGGGGAAGACTCGCTGGCTCACTCAAACTGACACACGCCACCCTCTGAATGCTGCGGCCATCATTTGGAGAGCAGGTGCTCTCTTTGCCAACATCAGCTGGCAAGGGAAAGGAAATCCCGCTTCCAGGCAGCTGAGAGGAGGGTGGCAGGTAAGAGAAGCGATTTCTGGGTCACAGAGGAGCTGGTGTGCATGCGTGTGCATATGCACGCGAGGCAATGCTTTGAAGCAGAGACCGGGTGTTTGGAAATGCCTGTGCCCGTGTCAATTCACTGACAGCAGGAACGTGGTCAGGAGGTTTTGTTACCATGGACCCCTCGCTGTTCAGCCCCACTTAGTCCAGGGGACAAGTGCATGGGATTTACAAGGCTTCCTGTACATGCATGTGTAGGGTGGGTGGGTTCTGCACATGGCGACAGCGGTGTGGTTAACAAGGGAGCCGTGAGGGGGTGGTGCCCGGCGTGGCCCTACGTGAGTTTCCCGAGGTTCCTTTGCGAAAGGGAAGCAAGTCAGTGGAGCTCTGGGCAATTCCGAAATTGCATGCGCAGGCTTGCTCAGGGGCCGTCAAGTTTGTCTCCTGGAAGGAGAAACCCAGCAATAGTTTGGGGTTGTGGGAGATGACTAAGGGGCATGTCTCAAATTATGCACAACGTGGGGATGGCAGGCAGAAAGCAGAAGTTTCTGTGTTACACACTCTATCCAAGGAAACCTACGGGCTATAGATTTCGGAGAGGCCAAAAGGAAGGGCTTCTTCACGCCACAGAATCTGCGGAAATCACTACCGACTGAGAGGTGGCAAAAGTCACGGCTGGGATGACACCAAAAAGGGTTTTGAATGAGTCACAGAGGAGAGGTCCAGCAATAGCTACTACCCAAGATGGTTAGACTGAACCTCCTTTGTTCAGAGTGTACGCCCGCCCGCCCCCGGTGAATATGAGTT